ACATACTTTCCAAGACTGGTGAGATCATAGCTAGAAGATTTCATATTTGTTTCTAACACAGTCATTGCACCTCAACTAATTCACATTCTGTGAAACACTTGGAGATGAGATACCACATAAATGCTAATCTTTGTCAACTCATCAGACAAACAGTGTTCATTACAATCACATCCACTATATTTCACCACGCTTCACCCCCCATATTGTCATTCTTATTTAATTCAGAATCTCCACAGCAAATTGAACTGAAACCATTATCTTGGTTTTCCTGTCTAGTTAGGTAAATATTCCATTTTTGAAAAGTTGAAAGCTCATTTTTCCCCTTTGTAACCCCTCAGTCCTCTTTGCAGCTTTTCTCCCTCCCTCCACTTTACAATCTTCCCTTCCCTCAGGCCCTCAGCTTTGCTTTGCTTTGCAGGCTTCCCTCCCCTACCTTACAAGGCCACACAAGCCTTTGTTGCTTCCTTCATCATCCTGTTCAGTCAAACTCTCCAACTACATTGGCTGTTCCTACACCATGTCTTCTGGCCTTGCTGAGTCATGCCAGTCACCTCATTCACTCACATATTTCCTGCTGATTGGTCTGCAGTGAAATTAACTTTGATGATGTGAGAAACAAATGACTGTTTATTCACAAACACACAGCATATAGATTTCTATTTCCACAGCGGCTCTTGTTTTTTTGATGTCATTTCATCAAACACTTATTTGCACAGTATGTGCCTGTCTTCTGAGCAACTGGCCTGACTTTTATTTCAAAGGGAATTGAGTATAAAGACAGGAAAATATTGCTAAAAATCTATGTTATTAGTTAGGCCACATCTGAAATATTGTGAACAATTTTGGTTTCCCTATCTAAGTAAAGATATTCTAGCATTGGAGGAAGTACAGAAAATGCTCACAAGGTTGACATTGCTATATTTTACGAGGAGAAGGGGAGTAGATTGGGTCTGTACTCATTGGAATATAGAACACCGACAGGTGACCTTATTGAAATGTAGATTTCTTTTAGGGGCCTTGACAGACTTGATGCAGACAGATTGTTTCTCTTCAAGGGAAAGCCCAAGCACAAAGTGCATACTCTCGGAATAAGGTTTCGCCGACAGAGATGAGGATAAATTTCCCTCAGAGCCTAGTGACTCTGTTGAATTCTTTCGCACAGATGGCTGTAGAGTCTGGGTTGTTAGGTATATGCAAGGTTGAGAGAGAATTTAGTCAATAAGGGAACCAACGGTTATAATGAAAAAATGGAAAAGTGGAGTTGAGGATTATCAGTTTAGCAATGATCTCATTAATTGGCAGAGCAGAACTGATGGGTTGAATGGTCTAGTTCAGCTCCTACATCCTATGGTCTTATGGTTACTCTCAAGGTTTGCAGAGTTTTCTGGCTTTTGGGTTAATCCTCTGCATTAGATTGGCTTCCTTTTTTCTTCATTGACAATCTGCTGTGTCAGTCACACACCAAAATGTCAGTTGCACGCCAGTCCTTGTTTTGCCTTTACCAAATGCTAATGCTGGTTCATACAATCCAGCTGCTTAAACAAAGCACCTTCCAAATGTCAGCCATATCAGTAATGATTGATAAAGCTTTACTGATTAGCCTGGAAAATACTTAACTGGTTTGTTTCACCATCCCTGGCAAGAACAAAGAAAACATCATGGAATAATTGAGTGCTCACTGGACTACTGAAGCAGCAATTCGGTTAGACCCACAAGCCTGTCTTAAATAGTCAGAGTGTCAATCTTGTATGTGATTAACAGCAGTGCTAATTTCAGAATTGGAATGATGAAGCCACATCCTACTCATGTCCTTCATCCCAGCATGAACGGTGAGGCACCTGGAGAGGGCCTCACCTTCCCAGCTTCAGGTTCTTGTATGCCTCCCAGTTCTCTCTTGCCTCCTGCTCCACTGACCTTCCACTCTCCCTGCCTCCTCTGACCCCTGCCAACACCTCACCCTGATTTGTCATTCCCCTCCACTTGCTACTTTTCAGTTTACCTCAGTTCTGAATATGTCATGCCAGACCCAAAACATTAGCTCTTTCTCTCTACAGATGAGGCCAGATCTGCTGAGTTTCTGCAGTGTGCAGATTGGACTTTTCTAGCTTTAAGTACAGGACATGCCTGGGCAACTTCCACAGTGTCAGGTTGAAGTTAGTTTTGCTGTTTAACTCAATTAGCTTTCTTATAGTCTAAGGTACAAGTGAAGTTTGTGCTTGTGCTTATTGAAGGGTTTGGGTGTTTGCGGGGTTGGGGTGGGTGGCGGAGGAGAATATGAGATGGGAGGGTGTGGGGGGACAGTGGGTGGGGGAGATGGGGTTGTGGAGATAGAGGTTGTGGACGATTGGGGGGGTGATGGGGGGTTAGATGAGGTAGTAGGGGAAAAAAGGGGTAGGGGAGGAAAGACAGGAAGGAGGATTAAAAGACAGTAAAAGCGGGGAAGAGGGTAAAAGTGGGGAAGACTTTGGGAACGGCAAGAATGGGGGACGGGTGGAAGGCAGGGGAAAGTGGGGGGAAGGAGCGAAAGGGGGAAGATGGGGAGATGGGGGAAGACATGGGAAGGGGAGAAAACGCGGGATGGTGGGGGAAGACGGGGAAGGGTGGGAATCCGGGAAGGAGGGAGAAGGGTGGGAACATGGGATGGTGGGGGAAGATGGGGAAAGGGTGGGGGAAGGTGGGAAGACAAGAGAAGTGGGGAAGAGGGGTAGGGGATTTTTTTTCATATTCATTCTTGGGTTGTGGACATCACTGACTAGCCAGCATTCATTGCCTATCCTTAGCTACCTTTGAACTGCTAGACCATATCAGATGACAGTTGAGAGTCAACCACATTGCTGTGGGTCGAGATGACAGACAAGATGGTGACAGTAGATTTCCTTCTCTGAAAGTGGAAGATTGAAGGGGTGAAGGGCTGATGATGAAGGGCACAAGGGGGAATTACAGATGAAGGGGGAAAGGGGGGGATAGACGTGAGGGTGAGGGGAAGGGGAGGTAAGATGGCAGGCGGTATATGAAGTTGGGGTGAAGATGGCAGGAATGACGGTGTGAACCCTGAGGAAAGAAGGACGGGGTGAAGACAGAGGAAGGAAGCAGGGTTAAGTACGGAGCAGGAAAGGGGGATTGATTGGGGGGCGGTGGTGAAGGGAGAGAAGACAGAGAAGAAGGGAGCGATGGGGAGGGAGACAGGGATAGGGTTAGGGTTAGCAGGGAATCTTGTATATGAGATTGGTTCCGTCCATAGTGGGTAACGGGTCTTTGGTTTGGGTTAGCAGTTGGCATAGGGTTGATGTGGGTTTGTGTGCTACTCAGATACCCAGTGGTCGTAGAAGTCTTGTGGTCAGTTCAGATGTGTTCTTGATGTAAGGTAGCGTGATGAGTGTGTTGTGGCATGTAGTATCTTCCTGTTGTCATTCATGTAGGCATCGTCTGACCTAGTCGTTGGGGTATCCGTTGTCTTTGAATACTTGGAGGAGGTGCTGTTATTTTTAGTGTAGTTCTGGGTTGCTGCAGTGTGTTGTTGCCCATTTAAATAGTGTTTTCATGCAACTTCGTTTGTGGGTGTTAGGGTGGTTGCTGTTGCTGTCACATACAAGATTCCCTGCAAAGACTGCGACAAATATTACATTGGACAGACAGGAAGAAAATTAGCCACAACAGTACACGAACATCAACTAGCTGACCAATACTCACTGATCTCCATCCACACGGATAAGGAAAACCACCAGTTCAATTGGACCAACACCAGGATCCTAGTACAGGCCAAGCAGAGACAAGCACGGGACTTCCTAGAGGCCTGGTTCTCCACGAAGAAGGCCATCAACAAACTGTGGCCCAATCTGTTCAATCAGTTTGGAATAAACATTTGCCTCATGTTATAGTGCAGAGCAGGGCAGTTCTCCCTGGTAAACAACACAATATAGAACACTTAATAAACATCAACACAGGTTCCCTGGTCAGATTCACGTTTTGATTTATGGATCTTGCTGGGGACTAGGGGAAAACTGCTTCCTATCCACATTGTCGATATCCCTCATAAGTTTGTACACTTCAATCAGGTACCCCTCAGGCTTCTCTGCTCCGAAGGAAACAACGGAAGGCCATCCAGCCTCTCTTCATTGCTAAGAATGCACTAAAACAGGCAACATTCTGGTGAATTTCTTCTGCACACTCTCCACTGCAGTCACATCCTTCCTATAGTTTAGTGACCAGAACTACACACAGAACTCTAGCTGTGGTTCATCCAACATTTTGTGCAGTTCCAACACAACCTCCTGCTCTTATAATCTATGCCACGATGGATAGAGGCAACTTTTCCATATGTCTTAAGTACCCTATTAACCTGCCCTGCCACCTTCAGTGATTTGTGAACAAATACTCCAAGTCTCAGCTCGTAAAAGATCCCCTAAGATTTGTGAACATCCCAAGATCCCTCTGTTCTTCTGAGATTTTATTTATTCATTCATGGGATAAGGGTGTCACTGCTAGGCAGCATTCATTGCCCATCCCTAATTGCCCAGAGGGCAGTTCAGAGTCAACCACATTGCTGTGGGTCTGGAGTCACAGGCAGGCCAGACCAGGTAAGGATGGCAGTTTCTTTCCCTAAAGGACATTAGTGAACCAGATGGGTTTTTCCCTGATAATCGACGATTCATGGTCATCATCAGATTCTTATTTCCAGATTTTTTTTTTGTTGAATTCAAATTCCACCATTTGCCGTAGCAGGATTCGAACCTCGGTCCCCAGAATGTTATCTGGGTCTCTGGGTTAACAGTCCAGCGATAATACCACTAGGCCATTGCCTTCCCATATGTATTCTGGGCTGTGATTCCTCATATCCTATCATTCATTGAGTTCTCTTGTCTTACCACTTCTTAAAAAGTGCATCACCTCACGCATTTCAGGTAAAGTCCATCTGCTGCTAATCTGCGCATTTGCCCAGCCACGTTAATTTTTCTGTAATTGAAGACTTTCTTGCTTAATATTAACCACAACAACAACCATCGTGTCACCTGCAAATTTATCTGTTAGCCTGCACCTCGCCACCCACCACCACCCCACTCCATTTGATGATGTATATGAACTGCATAGTCTGAATGTTGCAGTCACTTTATGCGCCTGTTGGTGTCTCACCCTTTCCACACACTGGGCAAGTGAATGGTTTCTCTGGTTTGAATGCACTGGTATCTCTGAAGGTCAGCCAAGATTACGAAGCTTTTCAGACAGGCGTAATGTTGTAAAGTCCTCTTGTCAGAGTGAAGAGATTGGTGTGAAGTGAGGCTGGTTAGCCGAGTCTTTTACTTTTACTTACAGATGTATCTGCGCGCACACAAACATTCTCCCTAAGTGACGGTGCTGGTGTGAATGGAGAACCAGCTTTTGAACCTCTTCCACAGTTAGATAGAAGACTTTTCCTCAAAGGGAACAAATTTGTCTGAAGTGAGCTGGGTTCACTGATCGATTCCCTTCCCACACTCGAGACGCCTCAACGGTTTCCCCCGGAGTGCATTCCCTGGTGCTTATACAGACGGATGACTGAGTGAATCCCTTGCCCCACTCAGACGAATATGACTATACTGGTGAATTTCCACATCAGATGGTAATTTGTATCACTTCTCACAGCCCATGCATTTCTATGCCTTTTCCATGTTGTGGGTGGCCTTGCATCTCTCTGTGTTGGAGAATCTGTAAAGGATGATATTTCTGAATATTTGGAAGTGTATGGTAAAATTGGGCAAAGTCAGCATGGTTTCATCAAGGGGAGGTCATGCCTGACAAATCTGCTAGAATTCTTTGAGGAAGTAATGAGCAGGGTAGACCAAGGAGAACCAATGGATGTTATCTACCTGGACTTCAAGAAAGCCTTTGACAGGGTGCTGCACAAGAGACTGCTGAGTAAGATAAGGGCCCATGGTGTTAAAGGCAAGGTGCTAGCATGGATAGAAGATTGGCTATCTGGCAGAAAGCAGAGAGTAGGGAGAAGAGGGTCTTTCTCAGGATGGCAGCTGGAGACAAGTGGGGTTCCGCAAGGGTCAGTGTTGGGACCACAACTTTTCACTTTATACGTTAATGATCTCGATGAAGGAACTGTGAGCATTCTGGCTAAGTTTGCAGAGGATACAAAGATATGTAGAGGGGCAGGTAGTATTGAGGAGGTGGGGAGGCTGCAGAAAGATTTGGACAGGTTAGGAGAGTGGGCAAAGAAGTGGCAGATGGAGTACAACGTGGGAAAGTGTGAGGTCATGCACTTTGGTAAGAAGAATAAAAGCATGGACTATTTTCTAAATGGGGAGAAAATTCCGAAGTCTGAAATGCAAAGAGACTTGTCCAGTCAAGTCCAGGATTCTCTCAAGGTAAACTTGCAGGTTGAGTCAGTAGTCAGGAAGGCAAATGTAATATTGATATTTATTTTGAGAGGACTTGTATATAAAAGCAGGGATGTACTACTGAGGCTTTATAAGGCCCTGGTCAGGCCATATTTGGAATATTGTGTGCAGTTTTGGGTGCCATATCTCAGGAAGGATGTACCGGCCCTGGAGCAGGTTCAGAGGAGATTTACAAGAATGGCCCAGGAATGAAAAGCTTAACATATGAGGAACGTTTGAGGACTCTGGGACTATACTCATTGGAGTTTAGAAGGATGAGGGGGATCTAATTGAAACTTCCAGAATACTGAATGGCCTGGACAGATTGGATGTTTGGAAGATGCTTCCATTGGTAGGAAAGACTAGGACCTGAGGGAATAGCCTTAGAGTAAAGGGAAGATCTTTCAGAATGGAGATAAGGAGAAACTTCTTCAGCCAGAGTGGTGAATCTATGGAATTCACTGCCACAGAAGGCTGAGGAGGCCAGGTCATTGAGTACATTTAAGACAGAGATACATAGGTTCCTGATGATCAAGGGTTACGGGGAGAAAGCAGGAGAATGGGGTTGAGGAACTTATCAGCCATGATTGAATGGCGGAGCAGACTCGATAGGCCGAATGGCCTAATTTCTGATCCTATGTCTTATGGTCTTATGGAAATGTGGGGGAGACAAGTGCAACTGAGGCATTCAAGAGGATTTAGAAGATTATTTAAGTAGAAACATTGTGCAGGTTACAGGGAACAGGTAGGAGTTTGGAACTTTGTCTAAACGTTCAGAGAGCCAATGCAGACACATTGGGCTGAATGGCCTGATTCTGCATCATAAAAATTTTGCAACTCTGAAATATCTGACAGATCCTTTTTAACCCAGAATTAAATGTCTGTTGTATAGTTGTCCCAGCAGGTAAACCACTTTATCAAATAGACCAAGCTATTTTAAAGAGATTTATTGTAAATGAGGTAGCAGCTGTAATGTTGAAATACCTTCAAATGATAGACTAAGGAGTGTCACAAAAATATGTTACGTCTTCACAATAGTTAAATCATTTTAAGACTCAAAAGTTAACCCTTAAACCTCCAGTCAGGAACAGATCACAGTTTGACATGAATCTCTGATTTCACTGCACTTTCCTAGTATCTGCCATTGTTCTACCCGGCTCCAAACACAGTTGTAAAGTAACCTTCCAATCCGTGTCTATGAACTCTGAACCACAGCAGAGAGGAGCTGGGCTATATTTCTCACACATCCCAGGTTTAATCAACCCACAGCCTTTTCTATCAATGAACTGTGACGAGAGGACTAAAATGTCATTTGTACCTCTTTGTGTAGCCTTGAAGGACTGTATCCAGGATTTCTGAAGAAGGGTCTAGGCCCGAAACGTCAGCCTTCCTGCTCCTCTGATACTGCTTGGCCTGCTGTGTTCATCCAGCTCTACACCTTGTTATCTGTATCCAGGCAAAAATTCTTTTCCACCCACACATGCTTTCACCCAAGTTGTCTTGTCCGAAAAAGACTTGAAATGCAAACAAAGTTAACTAATATCTTCGCCAGACCTGAATTCCTCCCGAAACCTTGACTTTTCATTTCAGATCTTCTGCTGGGTTTTCCCTCAATGCTATTATCCTTTCTGAGATATTTCCGGGAGGGAAAGACAAATCGTTGCAGTGTACTGCAAATGAAATTGTTTCACTTCATATTTATCCAGAATGTTACAATCTAGGCCAGCTACTAAATTTAGCAAAAACACATTAACATTTTCCAACTATCAGAATGAACCAAGTTCAATTCTGGATCAGATTAACCCCAGCAATACCAGCAGAATCAAACCCCTGCTGCTGACTGTGAATACGCTGGTGTCTCAGCAGTTTGTTTGACTGAGCAAAGCCCTTGCCACACACAGCACAGGTGAATGGTCTCTCTCCAGTGTGACTGCGTTGGTGGGACAGAAGATTCCATTTGCTTTTGAATTTCTTTTCACAGTCGGGACATTGAAAAGGTTTCTGGTCACTGTGAACTAGTTGGTGTGTGTTTAGGCTGGATAAATGAGTGAATGCTTTCCCACAAACAGAGCAGACAAATGGTCTTTCGCCAGTGTGTATGCGCTGGTGTGTCAGCAGGTCGGATGGAACGGTGAACCTCTGCCCACACTCCGAGCAGGTGAATGGCCTCTCCCCGGTGTGAAATCGCTGGTGTCGAAGGAGGTGTGTTGTCAGAACAAATCCCTTCTCACACACAGAGCAGATGAATGGCCTCTCCCCCGTGTGCGTGCGCTGGTGTCTCAACAGGTCCTTCTTGCTCTTAAAGCTCTTCTCACAGTCAGGACATTTAAATGGTCTGTGATCAGAGTGAACTCGTTGGTGAGTCAGGAGATTTGATGAAGCATTAAATCGTTTTCCACAGTACAGGCAGAGGAACGGCCTCTCGCCTGTGTGAATCCGTTGGTGTCTCTGGAGTGTGCAAGACTGGGTGAATCCCTTCCCACACACTGAGCAAGTGAATGGCCTCTCCCCGGTGTGACTGCGCCGATGAGTTTCCAGTTGACATGGGTAACTGTATGCTTTCCCACAGTCCCCACAAATCCACGGCTTCGCCATGCGGTGCGTGTCCTTGTGCCTCCCCAGGTTGGATGAGCAGTCAAAGCCTTGCTTATGGAGTCTAGAAGGATGAAGAATGACCTGATTGAAACTGAATAAATAGCAGGATTCCTGGATACAGTGGAAGTAGAGAAGATGTTTCTACCAGTAGGAGGGATGAGGAACAGAGGGCACAGCCGCAGGGTAAAGGGACTACCTTTTTGAAAGGAGATGACAAGGTATTTTTTCAGCCAGTGGGTGGTTACACTGTGGAACCCATTGCTGCAGAGGGCTGTAGAGGCCAAGTCACTGAGGTGCACTTAAGACAAAGATAGATAGATTCTTGATTGGCAAGGGGATCAAGGCAAGAGAATGGGGTTAAAAAACATACCAGGCACGATCAGTGAAGCAGACTCGATGGGCTGAATGGCCTAACTCTGCTCCTGTTTCTTATTGTCTTGTGGTTCTCAAACACACGTAAAGTCTCTTCCAGATCTGAATGGTGCAATGATTTATTGCACACTGGGTAACTCGTTACTGCTCTTTCCACAGCCAGTGCACTGTAATATCCTCACTCAGGTGCAAGTTTCTCAGTGCTTTGAGTCACACAGATGCCCGAAATCTTTTCCCAGTAACAGAACAGGCAAACAACTCTCCCTCCTTCATTGAAAGGCTGATGACCTTCAGGTACTGATCGGTCAAATGACTGGTAAATCTCAATGTCATGTTTGATTTATGTTCCTGATCCGGAAATGCTCCCTTTCCAATATCCTGTAACAGAATTTATAAAAACCATCAATTTAAGTACAAAATAAAGGTTCAGAACAAAAAGTTCTTCGTGTTTTCTGTTTTTGCACTCCCAAAGCCAGAAATCCCGGTCCTACATTTTCCCTCCTCCCTGAGCTGAAATAAGAAGTCATTACATCATTGACACCTTTTCTTCCTCCACATTCAGTTTAAACCATAACTCTATTCTGGTGGAGTTTAAATCTCCATCCCATATGGAGACTGGGAATAAAGTCAGTCAAACATTTTCAGCTGCTTCTCCATGATCCCCCCTACATCATTAAGGTCAGAAGTGGAGATGTTTGCTAATGACTGCACATTGTTCAGCACCATTCGCAACTCCTTAGATACTGAGGTAGTCCATGCCCAAATGCAGCAAGAATAAGACAATATCCAGACTTGGACTGGCAAGTGGCAAGTAACATTTGCACCACGAGTGTCAGGTGATGATGAGGTGCAACAAAAAAGAATCTAAACATAAGCTCTTGACATTTAATGGCATCAGCTTCACTGAAGCTCCCACTATAAACAGACTAAGGATTATCATTGACCAGAAATTAGACTGGACTAGTCATATAAGTTATGTGGTTACAAAGGCAGTTCAGAAGCTAATGATCCTCGAACAAACAACAGTACAGCATAGGAACAAGCCCTTCATCCCACCAACCTGCACCAATACATGACACCTTTCTAAGCTAAAAGCCTTCTGCCTCTACATGGTCTGTATCCCTTTGTTTCCTGTCTATTCATGTATCTGTCAAGATACCTCATAAACATTGCAGTTGTATTTGTTTCTGCCATCTCTTCTAGCAGTGTATTCCAGGCACTTACCGTCTTGTGTAAAAAAAAATTGCCTCTCACATCTCTTTTAAACTTACCCACTTTTACCTTACATCTATGTTCCCTACTAATTGACATTTCTACTCTGAGAAAAAAAGACTCCAACTATCGATTTTATCCATGCCTCACATAATTTTGTAAACTTCCAACAGGTCATCCCTCAGCCTCTGACATTCAAGTGAAAACAAAACAAGTTTGTCCAACCTCCACTTATAGGTAATACCCACCAAAACTAGGCAACATCCTGGTAAATCCATCCTGTACCCTCTTAAAAGCCTGCACATCCTTCTGGTACGTGGTGACCAGAACTGTTTGCAATATTCCAAATATGGCCAACAGAAAGTTCTATACAGCTGCAATATGACTTGTCAATTGTTATATCTATGTCTGACCAATGAAGGCAAACATGCCATATGACATCTTAACCACCTCATCCACTTGTGCTGCCACTTTCAGGGAAATGTGACAATAAAGCTAATTCATTCATTCATTTGACCTGTATGACTAGATCCTTCTGTATCTTAACGTGATTAAGTGTTGTGCCATTTACTGTATACTTCCCTCCTGCATTAGCCCTTAGAAGCATAGAATCCCTACAGTGTGGAAACAAGCCATCCAGACCAACAAGTCCACATCGACTCTCCAAAGAGCATACCACCCAGACTCACCCCACTATCCTATCCCAGTGACCTTGCACTTCCAATGGTTAATGCACCTAACCTACACACCCCTGGACACTATGGGCAATTTATTATAGAATCATAGAATCCCCTACAGTGTGGAAACAGGCCCTTTGGCCCAACAAGTCCACACCAAACCTCAGAGCATCCCACCCAGACCCATCCCCCAATAATCCATCTAATCTACACCTCCCTGAACACTATAGGCAATTTAGCATGGCCAATTCACCTAACCTGCACATCTTTGGACTGTGGGAGGAAACCGGAGCAAACCCACGCAGACACGGGGAGAATGTGCAAACTCCACACAGACAGAAAGTCGCCCAAGTCTGGTATTGGATCCCAGTCCCTGGCTCTGAGTCAGCCACACTAACCACAGAGCCACTGCAACGCCCACACCACCCCCACCCCTGCAAAATACATCACCACACATTTATCCGCATTAAATGCTATCTGTCATTTCTCCACCCAAGTCTCCAGCCCAACTGTATCCTTCTGTATTGTCTGGCAATTCTCCACACTATCCTCAATTCCCCGGAGCTTTGTGTCATCTGCAAACTTACTAATCAGACCACCTACACTCTCTTCCAAATCATTTATACACATTACAAACAACAGGGGCCCCAACACTGATCCCTGCCGAACAACACTGGTCACAGATCTCCAGTCAGAAAAGCACCCTTCCACACAGCTACTCTCTATCATCTATAACCAAGCAAGTTCTATATCCATCATCCCAGCTCACCACGGATTCCAACCGAATTCATGTTTTGTTTCGGCCTGCAATGAGGGACCTTGTCAAAAGCCTTGCTAAAGACCATGGGGACAACATCCACTGTGCTGCCCTCATCAATCATCTTCAGCATTCTTCAAAAAAATTCAATCAGGTTTGTGAGGCATGACCTCTCCCACACAAAGCCATGCCGTCTGCTGCTAATTCCACATAAGTTTAAATCTGTTCCTAAGAATTTTCTCCAATTATTTCCCCGTCACTGAAGTAAAGCTCACAGGGCTGTAATTTCCTGAATTACCTTGTTGCTTTTCTTGGTAAGGAACAACATTGGCTATTCTCAGGTGATTTGGGACCTGTCCTGTGACTAAAGAGGATACAAAGACTTTGTACAAGGCCCAGCATTTTCCAGTTTTGAGGAAGGGTCACTGGACCCAAAACGTTAACTCTGTTTTCTCCTCCACAGATGCTGCCAGACCTGCTGAGCTTTTCCAGCAACTTTGTTTTTGTTCCAGCATTTTCCTTCCTTACTTCCCTCAGTATCCTGGGATAGATCAATCAGGTCATGGGGAACTGTCTCCCCTAATGCATTTCAAAACACCCAACAGCACCTCCTTTTATGTACTGACATGCATTACAATGTCAACATGCTCTTCTCTAGACTCACCATCCTCTATGTATTTCTTCCTCGTTAATACCAATGCAAAGTATTCATTAAGAACCTCAGCTCCACTCATAAATTCCATCGTTTTTCCTCAAATGGGACTATCATTTCCTTAGCTGCCTTTTTGCGCCTTATATACGTCTAATATGCTTTGGAATTTTCCTTACTCCTGTTTGCCAAGGACATTTTGATGCCTCTATTAAGCCTAATTCCTTGTTTGACTTCTTTCCTATTATCTTCATATTCTTCAAAGGTTTTGTCTGTGTTCATTTTCCTAATCTTTGGTATGCCTCCTTTCTCTTTTTGACTGAGCACTCAATTTCTCTTGTCATCCAAGATTCCCGATTCTTGCTATCCTTATCCTTGATTTTCACAGGAACATGCCAGTCCTGAACTCTAATCAACTGGTCTTTAAAAGATTCCCAGATCAGATGTGAATTTATCCTCAAACAGCTTCCCCAAACTACTTTCCAGTTCCTGTCTAATATTGTTGTAGATAGCCTTTCCCTAGTTTAGCACATTTACCAGAAGACTACTCTTATCCTTATGCATAAGTAACTTAAAACTTATGGAATTATGCTACTGTTCCCAAAATGGTCACCCGGCCTAGCTTATGCCCCAACATCAAATCCAGCATGCCCGTTTCGAGTTACACTATTCACATGCTGCTTGAAGAATCCTGCAGTGGATAACTTAACTTATGATTCCCCCAGGGCTTGTCCAACATCTACAAGGCAAAAGTTAGGAATGTGATGGAATACCCACTTGCCTGGATGAATGCAGCTCCAACAACTCTGAAGAAGTTTGACAGGATCCAAGGCAAAACAGCCTGTTTGACTAGCACCATATCCACAAACATTCAACTCTTCCACAACTGACACTTAGTCGCAGCAGTGTGCACCATCTTCAAGATGAAAAGCAAAAATTCACTAAGGCTCCTTAGCAGCACCTTCCACAATTGCTCCCACCCGGAAGGACAAGGACAGCAGATACATAGTAACATGACCAAGTTCCTCTCCAAACCATTCATCATCTAGTCTTGAAAACATGTCACTATTCCTCAGTGTCAGCAGGTCAAAAACCTAGTATTTGCTCCCCAACAGCATTCTGGGTGTAGCGCATCAAATGGACTGAGAGCATTTCAAGATGGCAGCTCACCACTATCTTTTCTAGAGATGGGCAGTAAATGCTTGCCCAGCCAGTGACATCCCTATCTCTGTTAGTCACAGATATTCTGAACACCTGCTTGATCTACTCTGGCTCATACATCACCATATTATTGCAGCTCAGTTTGGAAGCCTGCCCTAATGATTATTGTGGACATTCTCACAATCTGTCTTCATGTATTAATTTTATTGCACAAGATGTCAGAAGAATGTGAAAACAGAAAAACCTAAATTGAACAGCATATTATGATCTGACATACAGAATTTGCTTCATCATAATCTGACAATCAACAGTCTTTGATGTGGAAGCAAAGGTCCCTGTTTACAACAAGAAGAAACCAAGTGTGTGTTCTGTACTTAGGCTGCAACTAGTCATCTAGTACTGGGAAAAACACCAGTGTAGCCAGATTGGGGAAGAGGCCATTCACCTATTCCAAGTCCAGGAAGGGGTTATTCATTCTCTAACTTCACTGAACAGCAACGTGTCCAGAGTGACTGCAAGGGTTGGATTCTTGCTGCTGTGAATCAAACCCATGTTTGAACCATAAATGGAAGCAAAATGCTAATGATTAAAAAAAAAGACAAAAAAAAATCAGAGAAGCTCAGCAGGTCTGGTGTCATTTGTGAAGAAAGAGATAGGGAACATCCGAAGTATCTGTAAAATAGTTTCATTGGACTCGAAACATTAACTTTGTTTCTTTCTTCACAGATGCTGCCAGACCTGCTGAAATTCTCCTGCACTTTCTGTTTTCACATCAGGACTAAAGGACATTCAATTAGGCTTCTTTCTGATAATATTAACGATCACTGAAGCTGGGGTAAATTTAATATATTGGATAAAAACTGAAAGAACTGCCGATGCTGGAAATCAGAAGCAAAAAAAACAGAAATTGCTCAAAAAGCTCAGCAGGTCTGGCAGCATCTCATATTCTGGAAATTGGTTTATTTTCCTTATCACATTTACTCTTCAAAAAACTCATCTCAAAGTATGTAAAGTATGGAATAGTGATTTACTTGTACTTCTTGTGACAAACTATAGTCACTGGTCGGGATCCAGCTTATTCTACATACTGGGCTGAGGATTTTGTGGTAAATTCAGTTTGGTCTGCAAGCTTAAGAATGGGATACCTTAGCTTTTCATCAGTTCACATTGCCCACCCAACTCCCATTCTGGCCTCCCTGGATTCTGGCTAGCACTGTTCTAATGAAGCAGCGGAGAGAGATCTGAGGTTTCGTGTATGCTTATATTTCATGTTTAAAGGGTAGCAAGGAAAGTAAACTGGGCTTTACATAGAATTTCACTCAGTGATCAAGACAGAGCTTACACCGTATCTCAGTAAGGCTGTAGCTCCAGAACATTCCTTTTTATCATATTTCAGCAAGGACGCACAAATATAGTTGTTGGGATGGGCTGTTGGTGGGACTGAGGTAGGTGCTGTTTGGGATGAACCCTGTACCAACTCAGTCACAGGATCAAGTACATTTTGGAAGTGTACATTGGGATGGGAGTGATGGTGCTGCTGAGGACGTGGTCTTGAGAAGGTCCCTGTCTCACGCAAAGGATGAAGTGCAATTTGGAGGTGCATGTTGGATTGGTATTAAGAGTATTCTGGGTGACAAGGTGATGTTGGGCTGGCCCCTGTACTCTCACACAGAGGATCGAGTGTAGTTTGGAGGCAACTATTGATGTGGGGGTGGTGATGTGGATATTGGGGTGAGGTGGTGATGTAGGTCATGGGTGGTGTTGGGGTGGGGCTGGCGATGTGGTTATTGGGATGGTGTTGGGCTGGTCCTTGTCCTCACACACAGTGGAGCAAATGCAATTTGAAGGCAGATAAAGGGGTGGAGGCATTTTGCGCTGGCTCCTGTACCCTCACACAGAAGACCAAATGCAGGGTGGAGGTGGTGAGCTGTGTGAGGGGGTGCTGTCAGAATCAGCCCTGCAGCCACCCACAGAGGATCAAGTTCAATTTGGAGGCAGGTATTGGGTTGGGGATTGTGATGCACATGAGGCGTGGTGTTACGCTGAACCCCGTACCCATAAACAAGTACAGTTTTGAGGCAGGTGCCAGGTAGGGTGGATGTTGCAATGCTCCCTGTACCCACACAGAGTTTAGAGTTATACAGCACAAAAACAGACCCTTCTACCCAACTTGTCCATGCCGACCAGGTTTCTGAATCCGAACTAATCCTATTTACCTGCATTTGGCCCATATCTTGCTAAAACTTTCCTGTCCATGTACTTGTCCAAATGTCTTTTAAATGTTGCAATTGTCCCTGCATCTACCAAGTCCTCTGGCAGCTAATTCCATATGTGTACCACCCTCCGAAAAATTTGCCCCTTAGGATCCTTTTAAATCTTTCCCCTCTCACCTTAAATCTATGCCCTCTAATGTTGGACTCCCAAACCCTGGGGAAAAATCCTTGGTTATTCTTTTCTTTTATATTCATTCAGAGAATGAAGGCATCGCTGGCTGGGCTAGCATTTTTTGCCCATCCCAGAGTCAACCACATTGCTGTGGGTCTGGAGTCACATGTAGGCCACACCAGATAAAGATGTCTGATGTCCTTTAGCAAAGTAAACTGTGAACCAAATGGGTTTTTCCTGACCATTGGCAATGGATTCATGGTCATCATTAGACTCTTAATTCCAGATTTTGATTTAATTCAACATCTGCCATATGGTGGAAAACAGAAGTTGCTGGAAAAGCTCAGCAGGTCTACCTGAAGAAAAAAAAATCAGAATTAACATTGTGGGTCCAGTGACCCCTCCTCAGAACAGATTGTGGAATTCAAACCTGGGTCCCCAGACTATTACTTGGGTCTCTGGATTAACAGCCCAGCAATAATACACTAGCCTATTGCCTCCCCTCGTCATCGCATCTATGCCCCTCACGGTTTTACAAACCTTTGTAAGATCACCCCTCACCCTCCAGGAAAAAGAAAGGTCCCAGGATATCATTATAACTCAAACTTTCCTGTCTCAGCAACATCCTTGTCAAAGTTTTTTATAGCCTTTCCAGTTTATACAAAGAATCAAGTGCAGTTTGGAGGAAGGTATTGGGATGGAATGGTGATGTGGGTGTGGGGAGTGTTTGCATGGTACCTGTACCGACACACGGAACCAAGTGCAGTCTGGGGCTGGATGTTGGGCTGAGGCCAAAATTAAATGGGAGCCGCGCAGGCGCACTGCGTCCAGAGTCAGGCAGCCGCAAGGAGCTGGAATTACAGCCGTTTTCCCCTTCCCCCGGGCACCGTGGACGCAACCACTTTTAATTCCGACTCAGCAACCGACAGTCGGTATTCAAAAAAAAACACGTCTATTTCTCTTCTCCTCTCCTCCCCTCCCGCCGGCTCCAGCTGCCCAATCGCACTCACCTGATCGTCCGCCCGTTCAGCCATCAGTTCAGCTTCAGGGAGAGTGCGCATGCCCAAGCACCGATCCGCACCGCGCATGGTTCTGTTGCACCGCCCCATTACCCCACCTAAAACGGCTGTTTGCGCACGCAGCTCCTGTTCCCGAGATAGGGCATATTCTCGTCGGCCTGAATACTGGGTAAATCTGCCTCCATCGATGGAGCCTGCCGCTAAGGAACCATTAACTCATGACTAAGGTTGGACCTCAATGAACAGGTAGCCAAATGTACATAAAACTGGCAGCAGAGAAGTAATCAGTGTTTAAAGTACTTACTCACCTTGTATCAAATGGGAAGTTTTTTTTTCTACTGAATCTCAAATTTTCACGATTTACTGCAGAATTTGACATCTGTAACACAATTTCAAATGTTCCTGATGGATAACAAATTGCTGAGTATAAATAATCCTGAGGAAGACTAAATTGCATCCTTGTAGAAATAGTCAGCTGTCTTAAGGACGTAGCACTGTCATCATCAAATGAGCTTTGTGCTATCACATCACAAAAATAAATACATAAAACACAAATTCCAAATAGCTCCAATTTAAAAATCATTAGATTCAAGTTCAGCTTTTTCCTCGACTAATCAAATGCTTCGTAAAGTGTCCGGAGATGAGAGTTTCAGTTTGTTTCCAAACAGAATCTAGAGATAGTGATACACAGACAGATGTGAAAGTAAATCCCTTCAGCCCTCATTCAAAGTTCATTCATCATGAACATGCAGAGTTGGATCATTATAAGTTAAGATATCAAATGCCTGGAAATGTATGAAGCATTCAAAGAAGTTAGGGCATTTTCATTTCATTTTGAATTCTATATCTGATGTCAGAAAGAAGAAATTCCAACCTCCCTTAAGGAGTGAAATGCTTCATTCATACACAGCTGTCAGCTGTTTCTCAAACCAGCCTACAGTCAACCTGTCAGTATCTGCAGCACTGACTGGAATCGGCAGGGTATTATGAGTCACCTGCTAAAATGTAGACAGCCATCACTGCTAGTATGTAGTATTTGTCTGGATCACCACTCCTGGTAACTTGAGATTTGCCACCTCTTCAGGTTTTGGGTTCTTTGATGTAATTCACCACCTCCAATGCTCTAATCCAGCATCTGCTTGTAGAGGATACCACAGAATATTTACAGAAGAGGTATTGTTCCTAGAAAACATGAAGGTTTATTTAATCACAACATTATTTAATCGTTCTAAGGAAGGGTCACCGGACCCGAAACGTTAACTTTGTTTTCTCCTCCACAGATGCTGCCAGACCTGCTGAGCTTTTCCAGCAACTTTGTTTTTGTTCCTGATTTACAGCATCTGCAGTTCTTTTGGTTTTTATTAAGGTTTATTTAATGATAACAATACATACATTCATTCAAGCGTATGACTAAGGACTCTTTGGAGCTGGTGCAGATACTCTGGCCAGTTAGCAGTTTACAGTACCTGTCTCAAGCCATTGACTGTGACATCAGTAGAATGGGTGGAACCAATATAAAATGAACATTAATCCCTTCAGAACCATTACCTGATATGACTACAAGTAATTTAACACAAACAGAACTGGCTGGAGAAATTCAGCATGCTGAGTTTATCCAGCCATTTTTGTTATTGTTTCAGATCTTCAGTATCTGCCATTCTATTTTGTTTTATTTTAGTAATTTAACACACAGTTCTTTTCATTCATATATAAAATAGAGAAAGAACAGATTGTTTATGTTTATTGATATGCAAGGATTGAGAATGAACATCCATTTAAATTTATTTTTGAGAGTAGATCTATATGGACTTCAGTAAGGCATTCAACAAGGTTCCTCATGGTAGATGGGTTAGCAAGGTTAGATCACATGGAATTGAGGAAGAACTAGCTATTCGGATACAGAACTGGCTCGAAGATGGAAGACAGAAGGTGGTGTTGGGGTGTTTCTTTTCAGACTGGAGGCCTGTGACCAGAGATATGCCACAAGGATCGATGCTGAGTCCACTGCTTTTTATCATTTATATAAATGATTTGGATGTGAGCATAGGAGGTATGGTTAGTAAGTTTGCAGATGACACCAAAATTGGATGAGTAGTGGACAGCAAAGAGGATTACCTCGGAGTACAACGGGAACTTGATCAGATGCGTGAGAAGTGGCAAAAGGAGTTTAATTTAGATAAATGTAAGGTGCTGCATTTTGGAAATTCAAATCAGGACAGGACTTATACACTTAATGGTATGGTCCTGGGTGTGTTGCTGAACAAATGGACCTCAGAGGGCAGGTTCATATTTCCTTGAAAGTGGAGTCACAGGTAGACAGGATAGTGATAAGGCATTTGGTATGCTTGCCTTTATTGGTCAGTGCATCAAGTATAGGAGTTAGGAAGTTACATTGTGGCTGTACAGGTCATTGGTTTGGCCGCTTTTGGAATACTGCTCAGTTCTGGTCTCCCTGCTGTATAAAGTATGTTGTGAAACTTGAACTGGTTCAGAAAAGAATTACAAGGCTTGTGCCAGGATTGGAGTGTTTGAGCTATAATGAGAGACTGAATATATTGGGACTATATTCTCCAGAGCATTGGAGGCCAAGGGCTGACCTTATAGATGTTTATAAAATCATGAGGGGCATGGATAGGGTGAATAGACAAGGTCTTTTCACTGGGGTGGGTGGAGTCCAAAACCAGAGCACATAGATTTAAGGTGAGAGGGGAAAGATTTAAAAGGGACCTAAGGGGCAACTTTTTCACAAAGACAGCTATGCATGTATGGAATGAACTGCCAGAAGTAGTGGTGGAAAGCATTTGGATGGTGTAAGAATAGGAAGGGTTTAGAGGCATATGGGCAAAATGCTGGCAAATATGACTAGATTAATTCAGGACAGCTGTTCGGCATGGACAAGTTGGACCAAAGCATCTGTTTCCATGTGGTATATCTCTATGACTCTAGATTTCCCTTCAAGGAGGAAGCATTGTCCTCTTTGCCGTGTTAATTTTTTCTCTGCAGGTGTTTGGTCCAAAAGGCCCAAAAAGACTGATACAGCAAGCAAGCAGCCTGTTGCACAGAATCTGACAATCCCACTTCCGGGTGGTGTTGGAATTAATGCAGGTATACTACCTGCATTTTAACAGTATGGACCTACAGTAGTGATTTAATAGTAAGTAGTAGTGATGAGTTAATGATATTTTCACTAGGTTAATCATCTGGAGCACCAGGCAAATGTTCTGGAGTCAAAAAGTAAAATTATTGGATAAACACAGCAGGTCTGACAGCACATGTGGAGTGAAAGCAGAGGTAATGCTTTGGGCCAAATGACTCTTCTTCAGAACTGATTGTAGCCGGAAAGAATGGGTGGGTTGGGGAAAGAGTAAATGATAGATGGAAATGGAGCCCAGTGAGAGACAGAGAAGAACGTTCTGGAGAAGTCAGGTTCAAATTCCACCATGGCAGATAGTGAAATTAGAATTCAACAAAATAAATCTGGGTTTAAAGGTTAGTTATCATGTAACATGGTTGTAAAATCCAACCTGATTCACCGGTGTCCTGTCAGAAAGGAAATTTGCTGTACTTACCTGGTCTGATCCATATGTGATTCCTGACCCACAGAAATATGATAAACCAAAGACCCACGGAGACCTGAAACAAAAAAAAAATGGAAATCAGCAGGCCTGGTAACATCCACAGGAAGAAAGCAGAGTCCATGTTTTGAGTCCAGTAACTCTTCAGTCATGTGGCTGTCATGATCTGATCCACATATGACTCAAGACGCACAGTAATGTGATAAACAAAATAATTGTGGAGATCTGAAACAAAAAAAAATCTGGAGAAACTCAGCAGGTCTGGTAACATCTGTAGGAAGAAAGCAGAGTTAACATTTTGAGTTCAGTGACTCTTCAGTCATGTGGCTGGCTTAAGTCCCATCTGAAATTGTCCCACAAAACTTTAATTTGTAATATATGGCAATAAATAGTGACATTTCCACGATGCCCAAATCCCATACAAGGATTAAAATTGTTTCAGAGATAGTAGGAACTGCAGATGCTGGAGAACCTGAGATAAGGTGTAGAGCTGGATGAACACAGCAGGCCAAGCAGCATCAGAGGAGGGTCTGAAGAAGGGTATAGGCCTGAAATGTCAGCTTTCCTGCTCCTCTGATGCTGCTTGACCTGCTGTGTTCATCCAGCTCGACACCTTGTTATCCCATACAAGAATTGATTTGATTAACGAAACTGATTGGATCCAAAGCACATGCTGCTGTAGTAGGAGTTCATATTACCCAGCAGACCCCTCAGTGAAGAAAATCACCTATCAACAACACAGAAGGGTCATTACATGGATGCAGCCAGGCCCTTGGCGGTTTTTGGGGATGTGGGAGATGAGGGCATTAAGTATCACACTCCCACTCTCTTGTCCCCTCCTGGTCCTAATGCTGGTGTAATATTTCGAGTTTGCAGTCTAAGGGAATTGCCAGCTCAAGTATCCATGCAGTGTAAGAGACTACGACATCTACAGAGGCAGCTTTCTGTGCAGGGCAACACCAGAGTTAACATTCCCAGTCCAATATATCTCTTCAGATCATCTCCTGGACCCGCTCCTTTGGATTGAGTGTGGATGAGACATACGAGGGGAGAAAGGAGGTCATTCTGGCTCTTGCACATTTTTTGTACTCAGATGGTTCGAGGTAGCTTGTGTCCATAATTAGACACCTTCTGAAACTGGCGAGCAACTCAAGGCACAGTGTGCCTCATAATTACTGGAAACAACATGCTGGTTAAGGCTGAAGCTTCCTATTTTGTTTGTTGTGATGTTGTCACTTATTCTCGCTTGTTTTAGTTTTATTGGATGACATGTTTTGAAAGAGTGCTTCATAGCAAACAGAATTGCCTGTTTTGAATTTCCTTCCTTTACTTAGTGGTGACTTTTGTTTCACACATTTTACACGATATTGAAAGGAGAGGATCTGCACACTGGGACATTACATCAAGATCTGACAGTCACTTATTCATCAGGAACTGAAGATATCAATTATT